AAAACCACTTCCATATAACCGCGTCACGTTATTAATTTTGCTAATAATACTATTATTGATATTTAAGACGAGTAATTTTTTAGTAGGTAAGTAGTATTAATACATTTTGTTTTATAATTTTTGTACTTATTTATGTTTATAAGAATTCTTAATACATCTTATTTTAACTGGGCTTAAATAAATGTTCATTTCTCAGCTAAAGCAATGTTATTAAAAATAAAAAATAAAAATTAAAAAACGCAAGACGAACATAGCTATTGCTTGCATAATTTAAGTAAATGTTCAATTTTGGATTTAACAACTGGAACGCTTCGTTGAAGTTTATTGATTTGGATAAACTCTTTTATCCTCTCACCAGAAGGGTAAGTATTTCGGGCCATATCACTTTTAAAATATTCTTTAATCATTTGTACTTCTTCTGGTCTCCAACCTAAAAATTAAAAGGAAAGCTAATACATATATAATACCTTTTAATTTATTTTTTGATAAAAGCGAATAATATAATTATTATTAGTTTGGAACTTAAGTGTTTAGCATTTGTGAAGTAAATTATAAATTCATGTTTCATGACAATACTTTACCTTTTTTAATATTCTGTTTCGTTTTTTTTTACAGAGATATTAACAAGATCTGAAAGTGTTCGTCCTTTTTTGGTTAAAGGGAAGTCATCGCCGCTTTCTTAATTATCTAAAAATCAAAATAAAAAATGCTGCTAAAGACCAAAGAATTCTAATATTTATATATTTTTCTTTTACAGATTATTATAGTTTTCGGTCTCTCATTAATCACGTTGACTGCCAAGCCACAATTGTAAAAACGGCCAAATATTTTTTTTTGTTTTACTAGCGTAATTATGTTTACTCGATTTTGATAAAAACATTGTACTTTTTTGTTTTTTTTTGGCATTTTTTTTTAATGTTCATACTGTCATATTAATACGAGTATATGTATATGAACGACGCGGCCTCTTAGAGAAAAATATTGTAGTTACTCTGTGGGGCCATGTCATTCATATATGTATGACGCCGTTATTTTCAAAACTGCAGAAGAGAAGAAGAATAAGGAGAAGCAGAAGAAGAAAAAGAGATACAAACAATTTTAATTTTTGGACATTCATTTTTTTTCGTTTCTAGCAAAAAGCAATTACTGCTTAGCGTGAAACGAAAATTTGTTTATTTTGCGAAAGTCCAAGTTTTAAAATTATTTGTTTCTTTGTTTCCGATCATAAAAGTGAAAAAAAGTGACTGCATAAAAAATACGTTTGAAAAGGGCTATGGACATTTATGTGTACAAAAATTATTGTATGTAGAAAAAAGTCGTAAAGTGTGCTAATAAAAATACAGAATGGATATAAAAAAAAAACACAAACAGAACTTAAGAAGTTAGATTTTAGTTCAGGCGACTCGTTAGTAGATCCTAAATGGTCTCCAGTTGTAGAAAAAAAGTAAGTCTTTAGGTTTTTCGTCATCTGAAGATAAAGAGATTTTAGATTTTACTAGAGTTGCAATCGTCTAAACCAGAACAAACTAAAAAAAAAACATTGCCAATGCAATAATATTTCCACGTTACATACATTTCATTACACGTTAGTTTGGAAAATTTTAGGAAAATATAAGTAAATTCAGTTTTCGCTTATACAGCATTTATATTATAGATATAAAAATATCTGAACTTCTGAATTACAGACATTTTAAATCAATGAGTGTGACCAAAAAAGAGTTACCCTTTGTAATATCTGCAATTTCTTAAAAAACAGTATAAAACATACACATAAAAAATTGACAAATTCATAATGAACTCTTCAATAAACTTTTTTACTATAAACGGTAGCAAAATAAATATTTCTTATAAAATCTTCTGTCAGGTTTAAAATATACAGGTTAAAAATTCAGAAATCCATATTTATTAGTGATACAGTATTCGGAAGAAAATAGGAAAATAATTACAACTCAAATGTGAACAAGACGTAAAATAAAATAGTCAAACTCAAAGCCATATGACACAAATTATAGGGCTACCATCTTCCTTTGAAGAACAACTTCATCTTTGGCTAATACCGTATTAAATTAAATTCAAAGGAAAACAACAAAGATAGAAAGTTAATTTCACCACTCTACCTTTCATTTTGCTAGCAAGCGACCTTTAATTTTGCTTACTAAGAATAGATGCAGTTACCATTTTCAACACGTGAATACTTGGTCTCTTCGTAACTAGCCTTATAGTATATTGGTTCATTTTGGTGCTCTTGTTAATTTCATAAGAGACTAGAACTGAGAAAAATCTATTTAAGGACGAAACCGCTCGGTCCAATAATGACCTTCTCCTTAACAAGCAAAATCAAAGGTAGAATGTTAAATTTCAATATCTGTTTTTTTCCTTTGTACATAATTCAATACCTGTTGCGGTATTCGCCAATGGAGCAGTTGTTCTTTAAAGGAAGTAGGTTACCCTATACTTTTTTACATTTGGTTTTACGTGTGATTATTTTAATTTATATAACAAAATATTTTTAGTATTTCCTTCAGAATAGAGGGATATAGACATATTTAAACGTAGTTTTAAATTATAAACATTGAAAATTTTAGCATAAGTCTGGCGACAACTTTATTAGTAATACGTTATCAAAAAAAATAAATAAATATTCCTGAATTGTATAAAAAACCTATTACCCAGAAGACAAGTAGTATATTTAGCGCAACAGTGTGGCTTTCATTTCTAACAATATCAAAAATTATGATTGGGAAAAATTGTTTAAAATTTAAAATTCCGTTTTAATTTTTAATATGTAATTATATCTATCTATTTGTCATATAGAGTATTTTTTCTTTACTATTAAAGGTTACTCTGTATAGTTAATAAGTTGATGCATTGATACAAAATGCTTATCTTTGAACACAAAACTGCATCAAAATTTCATCTTATTTCTGTAAAATCCATATTAATAGTAAAAAATGGACAATAATTATACAAATAACAAAAAATAACAAAATTTAAATAAAATATTTGTAACCTAACCAAAACACTCGACATGCAAATGTTTATCTAAAAACAAAACAAAACTTTCCATGCGTGCAGGCATCTTATTATTAATATATAAATAAATAAAAAATAGATACGACTTACCTTCTTTAAGAGCTAATTTAACAAGTAATTCGCTCCTCGAAGTCATTTTCACCTCACACATAAATATTTCTCTAAACGTGTAACTTTAAAACTAACTTGAATCTAATAGAATAGCGGTGTTGCCGAATTTCGGAGGGAACAAGAACCGCTATTTCAATTAAAATTATATAAAACCTTGTGGAGGGAACATAGAACGAAATTTCCAAAATACAAAGACGATTGCAACGCCACCGGTCAAAACTCCAACTAAACTGCCCACTTTCTCGACAAAAATATACAAACGACCCTCCAGACAATTTTTCTTCAGTGGTTAGGAAAGAGGTTAAGTAGTCCATTAAATTGAAATTTAATGCAAAACCTTGTTCCCTCCAAAATCGGAGGGAAGTAAGTTATATAAGAGGGAAGTACTTCTTCAGTATTTATAGTTTTGAGGGAAGAACGTCTGGGATATACATATATATATATATATATATATATATATATATATATATATAGGGGGGTGGGTGGCACAGTGGTAGAGTCTCTGCCTGTGGATCCAAGGGTCCCAGGTTCGAATCCCACCGTTGGCCGGGATTTTTTTATTTAATTTAATTATTTAAAATTAATTCTGATGCCTTGGTAGGATTCCCCACTCGACCATTGACTGTTGGGTTCTAATTAACAGTGCTGTTCCTGAAGTGGCGCTGGGAAACAGTAACAAAGCCTACACAGAACACACATGATTGAGAATTTAAAACACAAACTTGAGACTGGCATATTAGGTATATACACCTAGGCCATACATCGAAAAAAAAATATATATATATTAAAACGTATTTTGCGTAATTACACTTTTAAATGGGGTGGCTTTGCTCTATCAATCAAAATAATGAAGTGGGCAAAGACACCCCATATAGGCAACTAACTTTGCCCACCCAGTTTTCAATTTTTTTTTAATATTATTTTTTATAGTGAGCAAAAAACAACATTACTGTTGTGTTGTCCTTATTGCCACTTGTAGTATAGATCATACGTTTTCCAGAAAATAAAACACTTTATGAAACAAGAACGATTTAAAGTTCAGAATTGGGCAAAGTCGCCCCATTTCACGGTATTTAACTGTAACACTTTAATTTGAACACCCGGTATATCTAATAAAAACTTTACAAACCTCATTACCGTTTAATCAAAAATAGAATCTTAAATATTACTTACCTATGAATTTATAAACATAATAAATGAATGTTATAATGTATTTTTAAAAAGTATTAATAATTTTAGTTGTGTGGACTTAGGAGGAGGGAATAGAGCGCTGAGTTTGTGCGCCAACACCGGGCGCTAACTTCACACAAGTAAAATGAAAATAGGTAGGTACTCGATGTATTACCAATTTAGCTATAATCAAATAAAAAGTTTTAATCTAGTTTTGACAGATTTTTTTTCATTTTTAGATAGGTACATTATTTGTTCAAATATTATAAAATAACCAACATGTGCAATGTATTAAAAACTTATGTTTTAAAATGCTCTGGAGCTCCTTCTTTTTAAATTGTGAATCAAATACATATGTAAGTTGATGTTGCCACAAGTTGTTGAAACTCTCTGTATAACTGAAAGTATTTTTAAAATGTGCGCCCATCCACTGTAAAACTGTAACCCAAATTTGAAAATTTTACCTAGGCCATACGTTTGATACACCCTGTAGGTCTAGCAGGGTTTCATTTCAACCCCAATTTCTCTACAATGTTCTTCTATAACTTCTATCTCTCTAAATTTCTATGATTTCATCCTTCTAAATTATTGCCGGTCTTCCTCTTTTGTGTTTATTAGTCCTCTTTTTGACCATCCTCATTGCATGGCCGTACTATACTATTAAAATATTTAATAAATAAACTTACTGTATCTTGGTCTCTAGGTGCATAATAAATGGGCAAAGGTTGCCATAACAAGTCGTTATTCCAGATTTGTGAACCCTCTGGAGGAAAGAGACCAGCAGAAAATAGTTCGGCACTCATTAGACATCTTTCCGAATAGCTACTGGTAACATTAACATCTTTGGGCCAGTAAGTTCTTGGTATAAAGTTACTGTATTCTAATCTCATTAGTTTTCCTAATTCATACATTTGCAATTTCCCTCTCTAAAAAAGGTCATCTTTGTTATATATTACATGTTTTTTGTTACTTTAGGAATTTTATGTTTTAGTACAAATGGTTGTTTTTATTACCCCTAGTGAAATACGCAACGTGTAGCTTTTATCATCGGATAATATATTTTGCTGATTTTCTTTTAAGACGTTCTTTTGTTAGCCCTAATCAAGAAAGCTCTTAAAACAGTAAACAGGGTCGTACGAATAAATATTTTTTTCTAATTTTGACATATAAAGTGACATCTTTTATAATCGCTGCTAGTGTCAAAACGATATACTTTATGCAACCAGTTATATGTATAAAAAAAAACATTATGAAACTGGTTATGAAAAATGTATTATGTCCTTTTCAATCCTAGAAGTTTTTGCTTGTTTTTTAGGAATGTGATATTGAAAAGGCTTAATGGTTTTATAAAATTGTCGTGGGGCCCGACCTGGAAAATTGTCCCGGGGCCCAACCTGGCTTTCGGCGGCCCTGATTATATCACCAGTTGTGAAAATAAAACAAATAAAAATAAACCTTTTTGGTCTTAAAGTCAATTTGAAAGTTTATTTCGAAAGAACAAAGGTTGGTTTTATAAAAATAGAGTTTGTTATTGAACTTCCAAACTAGTAACAATTCTGTTTCGGTTCCTATGTTCCATCCTAAATTTGCACAAGATAATCTAAAACACGGATCCACTCTCATTAAATACATGACAAAATAACTCGCTTTCTTAAAAACTAACAAGCTATAACAAGAAACCACTCGACAACAAGTAGTGGTTGAGCTGAGAAAAATTATTTATGATTTTATAAATAATATATGCCATTTATGTAAGTTATAAGTCATGCAACTAACAATACAAACGTATCGTTTGTTACATAGATCAACATCAATTAATTCTTTAAGTTAGCGAAAACATACATAATTGATAATTGATAATTTATTTCTTTAAATAATTGAAATAACTACTTGTGCTCATTCAAATAAATCAAATTATATTATAAAATGCCACATTTTTCTCTACAATTTTCCAAATATTCTTTCATAAAATTTTTGTTTGGAATTACAAAAAATTAATGGTTGGTTATTTTTTAACAAACACAATTTTATAATTTGACCAAAATTAGAAAAAAAAAATGTATACAACACGTTACGAAATGCTGTTTTGTGTCACTCTTTCATGTTGGAGGACCTCGCTCTGTGTGAATATTTGCGGGACAAATATTCACTCGTTTCCTAAAATAAGGCATTTCTAGTTGTATAAATAGCTGTTAAAGAAAACTTATTTTATATAAAAAACAAAATTAAAAATATTATTTGTATAACATAAATACGAGGTTTGGCAATTAAATACCGGGACTGCACGCGCAGAAGGCGTCCTAGTGGGTAGGGGGGAAAACAAATGCAGCGTTGGATAGCTGGAAGTGTTCGTATTGTAATTTGAAATAGAAGATATAAACACGTTTTTGTCGCTGTAGCAGTATTTTTTTCTATAGAAGCTAGAAACGAACGTTTTTTTCTCTTGCCGACATGGCGATAACAATGTGTGACGAAAAACACGCCCAAGTAACACAAAAAGTTATATAAGGGTTATACCGACGTTGCAACAACGTTTCTTAAAACTCAACAACTTACATATTCTAATACACTATTCCGTTATTATATATTACTAGCTGACACGGCAAACATTGTTTTGCCGTGTATATTATTTCTGTCTATTTTTATGTATGAGAGAGTATTAAAATAATAAAGCGTTCGTAATCCATAGGCGTACCACTTCTGTTAGTAGACAGTTAAAATATTTTTTGAAGTTATTCCTCGAGTATACACTTATATTTTCACCTAATTAACCTGCTTATAACTTCTAAACAGCTGAAGGTAAAAAAGTGCAATTTTTTCTAAAATGTTTTATTTTTCCACAAGGTATGTTAAGAACATTGTGTCAAACGGGTTATGTAGGTATAAGGGTTTAAACTTTAACTTTTAAACGTTACGTTCATAAATAATAATTTTAATATAAAAACTACTTCTTACCTACAAATCCAAATTAGAATCGAAATCAAAAGATGAACTGTCGCAACAATATTTACAATGAGTGGCTCGATCATTTCATCAGTAATATTGTCCAACTTCCACATTTTCTCTTCTTCTTTAATCGTATGATTTACTGCCTTTTCCCAGTTTTCAGGCTTCACATTATTTACAGCCTCCAAAAACAACTGTTTAACATCACTCATTTTAAAAGAATGATTTTTTCTTGAAACTTCTCCCTTTATCTGTGCCCATATCAGTTCAATCGGGTTTACTTCGCAATGATATGGTGGTGATCTAACCACCGTCATCCCATGTTTTTTTTGCAATTTCATCAATTTCATATTTTTTTAATTTCTCTTTATGAAGGGAACACAAATGATACAGTTCTTTTCTCACAGAACCGGGATGGAACTTAATATTCTTTGAATTTAGCCAATTCTGTAAATCTTTTTTTAACCACTTGGTTGTGGGCATTTTTTCTATAAGTCTCGAGTGATAACTTGCATTATCCATTACTATTATACAGTTCTGAGAAAGAAGATCTATAATTTGTTCGAACCACTCTATAAAGACATCAGCATTCATGTCCTCATGGTAGTCACCGGTACGAGTAGATTCAAAAGTCAATAAACCACCTTTAACAAAACCGTTTGAACTACCGATGTGTACTATTATTAGTCTGCACCCCTTTCCTGATGGTGGATTTAAACCAGTAGATAAATTATTTAAAAAAGCCTGTCTTCGACTTGTAACAGTTTCATCTTGCCAAAATTTATTTGGTTTATGTCCCTCGTTGATCCATGTTTCATCTAAATAAAATATATTTTTTCTTTGGTTTCTCATTTCTTTTATAGTCCTTAGGTAATTTCTTCTCCATACTACAATATCGCTTCTTTCTATTAAAATAGACTTTCTGGAATGCTTTTTTCCATAGAAAACCTATTTCTTTTAAAAGTTTCCATAGTGTGCTTCGACTCATTTCAGGGTAATCCTTATCATCTCGAACCGTGGCAAGAACTTTGTCTACTGTCGAAAATTCTTTTCTAAAGAAGAACGCATGGACTTTCCTTCGAAGTCTTTCTTTCAAAAGATTTTCTAATTGAAATTTTGGTTTTCCTGGAGCTTTACGTGCTGTTTGAAACTCGCCACATTTCTCTTCTTTAACAATTCTGTACATCGTAGATTTCCCAACACCAAGCGTACTACTAACTAATTCCACTGTGTCATCAACACTTTTACATAAATGTTTGTCTGTAAATGATTTAAAACAATTAAATATTAATGTTTTTTCATTAGCTGTTAAAGGACCGATTTTTTGTCGTTTACGCGGCCCTTCCAAATTTTCCATGATCACACTATAATTCACACTGCACCTTGCAAGTTGCAACTAAACGACATTTAGTAAACTGTCAAGAATACACAACTTGGATCTCCTTACTAAATGGAAAACCTATAATCGCATTTTCGGTGAAATTTGTTGGGAAGGTATTTATCTACTTATAATTCGATTACTGTAAGAAATTCTTGGAATTAAAATAAAACAAAATTGGCAAATAGGTACTTATTGAAAATAGTCTTAAGATACGGCTATGTAATCTTTAATACACAGGGCTTTTGGCCTATCCAAACCTTTTTCTATTGTTCTGTACAGCTTATGTTTATAAAGGACCAATAAAAGACCCAGTAATAGCTCAGGTACATTTATTACAATTTTAGGAAATATTTAGATTATTCTGTAAAAATATTTAAAATGACCGTACTAAGTTTTGCATTAGAAATGCTGTTTTATTACTCTCTCATACATAAAAATAGACTATAGGAAACATTTTTTTAGTTCAATAAAAATAATTATCTACTATAAGTGTGCGGGGATGTACTTATAATCGAAAGCGTTGTAAACAATGAAAGTATACTTTATTTAGGTTAATAAACTAATCTTTATTTAAGTAACGAATATATTTTAAATTACAATTCTTGATAGCTATCTAAACATAATTATTCATTTTTTTTAAGGTGAAGGGGGGAGAAAAAGACCTTTATATCTCACAAGTGAGATATAAAGGACTTTTTCTCCCCCCTTCACCTTAAAATTACTTCAACTCACACATGGCTACCCCCCTTGTCAATAATTATTCATATTTGTACTATCACGATTGCACAGTTCCAAAAATTCGGTAAGCGTAGTTTTTGGTGCACGCACACACACACATATATATACACCCTCGTACCCACACACATACACACACACCCACGCACGCACCCACCCACACACACATAGACAGACATCATCGCGAAAATATTCAAAACGGATTCAGGGGAACCCAAAACGTAAAAAACCGTCGAAAACTCGAGGTCGAAAAAAATCATGATTCCTATACTTTCCTTATCTGTATACAGATAGGAAAGTAATAAAATCAGCAATTCTCCACTTTAACGCCTTGTATCTCGAAAACAGGTCATAGTATCGAATTTAAAATTTATAACTCTTAAATAATTTTTAAAATAAAACTTTTTTATAAGCAGTCTCGTTATTTAATTTTCAGCATTCGTATCTTCCTTTAAATGCGAAACAATTATTGTGATAGTAGTGCGTGTATATTATTCTAAACATCACAAGTCAAAAATTGACATAAATCGACAGGAGGATAGGCTTTGAATAAATAATATATTATTACTTTGAGATGATTTTGAAATTTATATGAACGACGCGTGGTGTGTTCGTATTCGTCTAGCTCATAGGTTCCCAACGGGGGCGATACCGCCCCGGGGGCGATACCGCCCCCAGTGGGCGCTGGAACTTTCTATGGGGGCGGTAGCGGATCCAGAGGCAAATGAGGTGCGCTAGCGGATCCAGAGGCAAATGGGGTTAAAGCAATCCACTTTATTAAACCTGTTTGCGTCATCTTCTAAACAAGATGATGATGATGGACGATCCTCATATAACATTTCATTGTTAATCGCAAAAGCTGGA